AACTAGGTCTTACATTTTAAATTAAAGAAGTAAAACTGTCATTTTTAACTTTAAAACGTAACAAAATAAAAGTAATAGTAGCTATTTAAAAAATAATTGATAAAATTACAAATACTCAAAAAACTTAAGTACTGTAACAAAGTAAATGTACTTTAAGCCTCTGCTCCCCACGTTTATAACAAGGCTTTTTTATATACATATTCCCTTTTTCTTTTTTGTGTTAACTTGCTTGTTTGTTTTTGGCTTTTCTTATTTGTTCAAATATATCCTGTTGTTTTTTTTATTGTTTGAATTTGCATACTGCTCCTTTATGTTCTAAGTTTAGACTTCAAGACTGCTGCTGATATAAATTTTTAATTTATTTACAAAGTGTTGTATACTGCCATGTTTGTTTTATTAATAAAGTTCAAAAACGATCTTCAGGAAAAAACAAAAGTCAGCCATGGCAGCGATCTTGAATTGAATTTCTCCAAAGGTTAAAGTGCCTGTGACATCAAATTTTTGTAATTAATGTGAATGCGTTTTTGGAAAGACAGCAATAATAACATGTTGCAAAATAAAATTCACGTCTCTGAGCTGAACAGCTGTTGAGCTATTTGCATGTGATGAAACAGGAAGTGATGTCATAGGGGAATGTCTGCATGCAAACAGAGCAATGCTACAAGAACTGGAGAAGAATCTGATGTTTCTTTAGATTATTTTGAGTCACTATCAGAGTTGAAGAAGAGTTTAAATAATTTTGTTTTAATAAACGAAGACCAGAGAGTTTCTTTTCTTAAAAAGTTCCCCTTTGATGTCACTTCCAGTTTCGCATTGACTGAGCCAAATTCAAGAGAAAATGTGCCAGTTATGGGACAAAATGGTTAAAATCATGTGTATTATGCTAATTTTCTTTGACTTTTTGTATTTGAAGGATAAGCATGTCACAGGCACTTTAATGAGTTGTAGTTGTACTTCCTGGGAGTTTCGTTAAAATCCATCTTACGGTTCATGAGAAATTACGCTAACAGACAGTGCTAACTCCAGCAGATTAAACGACAAAGTTTAAAAGTTAAATCTCACACAATGAGTAACACCTGATGGATTTACAGCCACTAACCAGGACAAACTTTTGCCTCAATAGCTATAAAAAGTTCTTGACATATTTTGTGCTTTTAGGGGCAGTTGTCTGTGGCGGCCATCTTGGATCAGGTTGACTCAGTTCCTGATGAACATTCTGTAAGTTTTATCACACTGGATATAAAACAGTTGTTTCATTGCATCTTCTTTTTAGGGTTAGGTTTAACTGACAAACAGATAGATTGCTTCACTATTTCCCTACCAGTTGTAATCTCAGTGTGTGTGTGTGTGTTCTTTGTGTTGTGCAGTGAGTGATGGCAGTGACAGTATAGACGGCATGCGCTGTGAAATGTCACCATGACGATCGATGTTGTTTAACGAGGCTGGAGGCTGATCTGGACCTCATGCTAACATAAAGCTCTGCTCTCCTTCCTTCCCCTCTTCTCTTTCCTAATCCCCCCCTTCCACTTCTCGAGAGCGCCTCGAGGGTCCCTGAGGGGACGGAGACGAGGCCTTTTACCTGTCAGGAGGCTTTTGTGTCTGACAGGACACACACACAAACACACACACACATACTGAAATCAGCTTGGAAGACCGAGGAACATTTTTTTTCCTTTTAATTTGTGAAGGTTCATTTTGAAGAATCAAAACAAAGACACAAAGGTTCAGAATAATCAGAACTACTTTATGATTTCAAAGTGCTGAACAGAAAATCCAGTGAACCAAAGAGAAAGGAAAAAAATAATAAAAAAAAAAAAAAAAAATAAAATATATATTTATATATATCTCGAACAGGAAACTCAAACCAAAAAAAGTACATTTGAAAAAAAAAACACGTTTTTTGTCTTTTTTGTTTCTCTTCAAAAAAAAAAAAAAAAACAATGCACAAGTCGTACCACAATATTTGAAAAAGCTAAAAACACTTCAAAATATTAGTTTTATATTTATATATTTATATTATATTTATAAAATTTGCTTCTTTTTTTGTTTGTTTTTATTTGAAAACTGCTGCTGTGAGGGTGGGAGTGGGCGGAGCCCCCGTAGACACAAACGCAGGTCGAGTCGATCTGAGACGCCATGCCGTGCGTATGGTCCCGACCTCTCTGAGAGGTGGGAGGGAACTCTCAGGGTAGAAATGCAAAGAATTTAAAAAATAAAATAAAATAAAAAGGTCACAAAAAGGTGGAATGTTTGGCCCTCGTGGATGTGCAGCTGTCTGTCGAGCACCCTCCCTCCGGCCCCCGAGCAGGGAGGGTGTGTGTCGGTGCTTCTGGCTTGGAAAGGGCTTCAAAAGTCTAACTTCTGCCCACGTTCGTGCCTCCAGTCGGACTCCGACTTATGATTTCTAAGCAAAAATAAAAACGACGAGAACAGAGTGAGTTCCTGTCGGGGTGACTCAGTCATTGATTGTTAGAGCACCGGTTCTCCTCGGCTGCAGAAAGCCACAAGTCTTTGCATTGAAATAATTTAGAGTTTCAAATTAGACCGCTCCTCCTCCTCAGTCTCGTCCTTTCGCTCCTTGTTGTTCTTGTTGTTGTTGGACAGCACTTAAGAAATTGCACTTGTGATTAAGAGCTCCACCTCTACGTTTTATGAAACATCTCTACTCTTACATCGCTTGACCTTTGACATTTCACCGCCGTTCTCTTTTTCATCAGCGGGAGGTAACTCGTGTCTCACTGTGACGTAAACAACAACCGAAAAAGATCTGTCTCACTGAAACTTTTATAAAAAAAAAAGAATAATAAAATGACAGAATGAGCAAGGCCAAAACACAGATAAACAGTACTCATTAACTTCTTTTTTTGTTGTTGTTGTTTTTGTCTTTTTTTTTTCTTTTTTTTTTTTGCAAAACGAGCTGCCACCTAAACAGAGGGAGAGACATTTTTCTGGTGTCCATCTCAGCCTCATTATGCTGCCCCTCCCGCCCACAACAGGAAAATCTCCAGAATCAAATAAAAGGTGGTAAAAGTGTCTTTTATACAGGTGAAAATAATTTTGTCAGCCGTCTGAGTTGAAGGCTTTATCGTTTGCTTGTCCCGCCGAGCGAGGAGCTGTTTCAGTTTTCAGCTCTCTCTCTCTCGGCCGTCACCAGCCTCTCCTCCAGGTGTGGGTGCGTGTTCCTCGGGGGAGGGGATGATTCTTGTTTTTTGTTTTGTTTTCCTCAGCGTGTCCGGCCCAGGTGCTCAGTACGGCACAGTGTCCAGGAATCTGTCGATCGACGGCGGAGGCGGGACCAGGTCCTCCAGCTTCAGGTAGAAGATGCGCTGAAGGCCCTGGGTCCTCTGAGAACGTAGCTCGGCCCTCAGGCCCAGGACGTGACTCAGGGGAGGGGCGGCCTTGCACGAGGACGACGACGAACCGGAGCCCAGGTGGTCCCGGAGACAACAGAGGACTTTGTTCTGCAGCTCCTCGACCCGCTTTGCGTCCTTCAGACCGGGGATTTTATCTGCAGGAGGAAAAAGGCAGAGATGTTAGCTGAGTAATTCATTAAAGGGATCCATGATTAGTTGGACTTTATTTGATAAACATTTATTTTAACTGTAAAATAAAGACTGCAAAAATACTGTAGGTTGTTTAGTTTCTATTTTTTTAATTAAAATTTTAAAAATATATTTGAACATGGACAGAGGCATTTTATTTACACACAAAGCATTCTGGGTAAATGATGACGTGGATAGGTCCTCGGTGCGAGGCTGCTAGCGAGCTATATCCACCCTGAAGGTTAATATTGGACAATATCTGGTGATCGACTCTTAAATGAAACCAGAGAGCGTTGACAGAGAGGAGAACTACGGAGCCTGCGAGTGGACACGGGGGATTTTTTTCTTTTGCGTTCTCACGCAATATTGTTTTGCGTTCCCACGCGAAACTTTTACGTTACCTCGCAATACCTTTGCGTTACCTCGCAATACTTTTGCGTTACCTTGCAATATTGTTTTGCGTTCCCACGCAAAAGTTTGATTTGAAAATGAACTGAATTAAGTCAGACTTTTATTTTGAAATATCCGGTTACCAAAACAGGACGTGTCGCCACAAGTTTGTGAAATTGACATTGATGTTGCGTGGCTGCACTGTGTTAAAATATCAGCATATGACACACTTCCATGCATGGCTGTGTGATATATTCATTCTGAAGCTGAATTAAAGCAGTAGGCTAACTTGCTAATGGTAAACATGTGAGTTTGTTAATAAAACGGCAGGCACAACAGTTTTTAACGACATTTGCGAGGGAACGCAAAAGGTATATTGCGAGGTAACGCAATACTTTTACGTGGGAACGCAAAAAGAAAAAAAAATCCCCCATGTCCCCTCGCGGGCTCAGTAGTGAAGGTAGAAATGACTCAGCCTGGAACTGAAAATATGGATGGAGGACAACAGAGCTGCTTCATGGAAGAAGAACCTCAGCTTAGCCTGTTGGCTTTAGCGTTAGCACTGACACTGTATTGCCTTACAGATTAGCTTGGTGCTGGCGCGACTAACAAGCTAAACTGAGGTCATATATAATATATATTTTAAATTTTAGTTTAAAAATTATAAAATCGAAACACCCTACAGTCTTTATTTTACAGTTAAAATAAATGTTAGCAAATAAAGTCTAATGTTCCAACTAATCGTGGATCCATTTGAATGGCAAAAATTAAGTCAGCGGGGGGGAAAAGGGGAGAAAACCACACAAATACACAGATCAGAGCTCATTCAGCTGAAAAAACATTAGCTGCGTCTTGTTTTATATTGAATTGAACCTCATTAGCCTGTATGGCTCATGTTCTTAACAGCCTTAACCTGTCTCATTCACCACGGATCAATACACAACCTAACTTAATAAGCCTCCTGCACACCATGTACTGTATGTGCACTGACATGACTAACACATGCAATAAACAAACAAACTGTGCATGGATACTTGAAATAAACGCACGCAGAGAACAGCTGCAACTTTCGAGTTTAAGACACTAATGAAAACAAAAAAACGTGTTCGACGATTAGCTGCTTATTTGGCCTTTTGAGCAGCCAAATTCAATTAGGCACACAGACACACACACAATCTCACACACACAAACACACACTGCTGCCCATAGCAACTCCAGTGGCACTCGGATCAGACTTAATGTGACACTAACTCATTCTGCGGAGAACAGGGTGTCCACCTCCCACCCCCAACACACACACACACACACACACACACATGCTTACACACGAGCACACACACAAGCTGTGCTGCAGGGAGGTTGCCTCTCAGACCAGTCTCACTTTGAGGTATCCATTATTGGAAGCGTATTTATTGTTTGTTTATGTGACCCTTTTGTTTGCGGCTGCAGAGTTACTCCAGCCCTCCTTCCTCTGCGCCTTTCATTTATTTATTTATTTTTGGCTTCCCTGTCTTTATTCCTCCGCTCCTTCTTTCTCTCTGGACGTGAGCTCCCGGGGACAGATCGATGACTTCCTTTCTGCACAGGGCCACTCCGAAGCGGTCGATGGCCCGGTGGCTCCGGCGGCTCGGCCGCGGCCTGCGCCGCTTCGCCGAGCTGGCAGAGCGCCGCTGAGAACGCCGGCGGACGCCATTCCAGAGCCGTGGCCCCATGTTGGGTTTGGTCGATCGGGAACAGAGTTAAGTGCTCGCCCGGAGAGACCGCGAGGGAGAGAGCTTAGACAGAAAATAAATAAATAAATAAAAACGGTGGAGGAAGAAGAGGTGACGGGGGCAGGGTGAGGTAAGGAAGCTGCAGCGAGGGGGAGGGGATTTTCGTGATTGTACATTAATGTGCTCTGGAGTGCAGAACGAGACGTCGATGCATAATCGCAGCTCATCTTCTGCAAGGCCGGGTTCCGTTCGCTGCAAAACATGTCCACCTAACCAAGTTTTAAAATCTTATATCCAGTCAAAAAATCTTTTTTGATCTCATTTTGAGACTGATTTACTAAACAAGAACTGATTGTGTAAGAATAATCATCTTGTTTTCAGAATGTGTAAGATTGTTTGTCTTGTTAGTCTGAAAATTTGACTCAAATTAAGTCAAAATTTCTGCCAGTGGAGTAAGAAAATTTTACTTGGTGAGATTCTTGAAATACTTGATTTGACGCAGTTTTTTTCTTATTTCAAGAATTCCAGTATTATTCCAGTGTAGCAGGTTCCTCGTCCCGTATAATGGCTTCCGATTGTCAGCTGGTTAATATGAGGCAAAAAGCCACTAAGGTTAACTTTAGAGCAAATGTCATGGTTAGCACTAAAGACACCGCCCTCCAACGAGTGCATAATGTGGCCTTCTAATAGGGCAATGGGTAGAGTGTCGGACCACAGAGCGTGAGACCAAGATTTGAGACTGACACGGACAGCAAGAGCAAGGATTGCCACCAGGCAAGGACAAAAAATTTATTACAATATCTTTTGGTTATTTACACATTCATTGTCATTG